TTTTAAGATTTTGCGCATTTATTTAATTTGTAATTTTGATCCCGAATGTTAATTCCATAAATTGCAGGAGGGTCTGTGGCTTTATGCCAGAGCTTACACGTAGCAACTTGGGTAGTGGGGCAAAAATCCGTTTTTCAGCCACATATCCGAAAATAAGCATTATAAGGTACCTATACATTGCTTCATAAGTTGTATCTAAATATGGCTATTAGGCATATTTTGATGTATCGGAATAGTCTCTACGACGTTCTTGGGCTGAAATACGAAAATTCGAGTGACCGCGCAAAAATGCAATAGTAGCCAAATGTTTTAAGCATCATTTATAGTATAGAGAGGTGATAACCGTCGATAAATCGCTTTTAACACAAAAATGAACGAGTTTCCACTTCGTCTCGGACAACGAGCTGAATACGATGCTGTAAAAATTATTTCAAAATATTCGATATTTAAAAAGTTATACATTATCGGACCTTATTTGGACGGACATTACTTGAACGCTGGAGGCCCTAGCGTTCATCTTAATGTCCGTTCAAATAAAGTCCGTTCAATTAATGTCCGTCCAAGTTAAAGTCCGTTGAAATTTTTCCAAACATTTTTCCATTTCGAACTTTTTGTCCAGAATATGACAACTTTGAGAACTTTATTGTGCCGTAAGTTAACGACGGAAAGGTTCTCCTTGGTCTGCCGGAGGCACAGAAAACTTTACTAGTTTATGATGTTTTCAAGGGTCACTTGGCGGAAAAAAATTAACAAAATTATGGCACTCAACAACATAGTTCATGAGTTAGTCCCCGCCAAAATGACAAACGTGTTCCAGCCTCTAGATATTACGGTAAATCGTGTTGCCAAGGACATTGTCCGACGTTGTTATAGTTCATATTACTGAGGGGAGGTAATGAAACAGTACTAGGAAAGCTCTACGTGATTTTAAGGTTAACCTAAAGTTGTCTAAGATAAAACCGCTTCACGCCGAATGGCTTGTAAAAGTTAACAATGAAATGCAGGACCGGGGTAGTTTGATAAAAAAAGATTTCCACAAAGCTAGAAATCACTAGTGCTTGTTTAAGCATGGACTATTTCATGCACGAAAACCCATTTAATGAAGATGATATGTGATATTAGACACTGATCATGTACACATATTTTAACATTTTTACTGCTTAATGACTGCTTTTCTTACTTACTGTATGAAAAATGGATTAAAAAATCATTTGCTGAAATTAAAAAAAGTCAAAAATTTGAAAAAATTCGGATTTTTTATGGTTTTGAATGCCTTCGAGCGTTCATATGAGATGAGACTCAGTGTCGAAGATGATTCTGATTCTGCCCTTATTTCCAAAAAGTTTTGGACACACGTGAAATCAAAGTCTAAGTCGACTAGGATACCTGAAACGGTCCGATATGGTGATCGTTTTAGGAACACACCAGTTGAACAGGCTAGCTTATTCAATGAATACTTCTATCAACAATTTTCCTCAAGTAGCTCATATGACATTGACATCGACATGAGCTCCAGTAACAATTTCATGGATTTGAGATTTCACGTGTTGGATGTTTTGTTAATTTTAAAAGGGGTTAAACCGGGTAAAGCCGCAGGTCCAGATGGTATCCATGGCACTGTGTTAAAAAATTGTGCGAGCACTCTTGCAAAGCCTCTAACCATGATTTTCAACACCTCTTTTGTGACTGGATGTGTGCCGGAGGAATGGAAGCTTGCTTCTGTTGTTCCGGTACACAAGAAGGGTGAAAAAGGATCTGTTGAAAATTACAGACCCATCTCACTGACATGCTTAGTTATGAAAGTTTTTGAACGTTGTATTTCGAAAGAGTTGCTCGCAGCTTGTGAAGGGTTAATCGACTGTAGACAACACGGTTTTGTGAATGGGAAGTCTTGCACTACCCAGATGGTCCCATTCACAGACAACCTTGCACTGGCCCTGAACAATAAGTCAAGATCCGACATTGTTTATTTTGATTTTGCTAAGGCATTTGACAGTGTATCACATGACTTAATCCTTCGCAAGCTAAAAAATTTATATGGTATTGATGGTCTGATGCTTAGATTTTTAAAGTCGTATTTACAAGACAGACGACAGCAGGTTGTTGTAGGCGGAGCTGTCTCAAGCATGCTTCCCGTGCAATCAGGAGTGCCCCAGGGATCTATTCTGGGACCACTTCTGTTTGTTCTATTTATCAACGACATGTTCTTGTGTGTTTCGGAGGATACAAATGTAGCATTGTATGCAGATGACACCAAAATTTGGAGGGTCATCGAATGCTTTGAAGACCACTATATTCTCCAAGGAGATATAGACAGGTTGTTTGCCTGGTCAATCGATAACAAAATGACTTTTCACCCTTCAAAGTGTAAGGTGTTATCTGTAACTCTGCAAAGAAATGTATTAGACAATCTTCCTTTTAATATTTATTGGTATAATCTTAATGAAGTCATAATTGATTATGTGGGGTGCACATTGTGATCAATTGATATCTAAAGCAAGCTCAAAGCTTGGGCTCTTAAAGAGAACCTGTCATTTTACCATGGATAAACGCCAAAAGAGGGCTTTCTACCTTACCATTGTAAGATCAATCTTTGAACATTGCTCAGTTATATGGTGTCCTCAGCGATCGACACACATGTCGAAGTTTGAGGCAATCCAGAAAAGAGCGATCAAATGGATCAATGGACAACAGTTTGATCATTATAGTGATATTGAATTCTATGAGAAGCAGAAGGAGCTTAAAATTCTACCCATTAGATCTAAGTTCATCCATAATTCAATTACGCTCTTCTATAAAATAGTAAATGATTTGGTAAGTATATCTCTACCTGAATATATTACTGTTGTTGAAGCTGGAACAATGAGGTACACAAGGAGCACGGCATCAGTCATTGAAGGACTTGACACCAGCACATATACCTGCTCTATTGTACCAAACTGCGATAGTTTCAGAAACAGCTTCTTTTATAGAACAATGCTTCTGTGGAATGCACTGCCAGCCTATGTTAGACAGACTGAGAAAATTTCTATTTTCAAAACAAAGCTAACTGAATTTCTCTGGTCTTCTGACGTATGCTGGCTTGATTAGATGGCCCATCATGGAATATTATTATATAAATATTTTACTTTATGAATGTCATACTCTCTATAATTTGCCCCTCGCACCTGCAGTAGAACGCGCCGTTTTTTCTTTTATGAAACAACCCGAAACAAGCGCGTCACGCAGTACGTGAGTGGCCAGATTGTAGATTGTTTTATTATAATATTATTTAATTATGTTATTTTGTTGTTATGTCGTGTAAGTTTGTGGAGTAGTAGCAAGAAGGTATCGTATACATTTAAATTTGTTCTCTTGATTATTTATTAATGATTTTATGTAGGGTCGGCACCAATGTTATTATGGTCTTACCACCGTGTTTTGGTTCAGCCGAAATAAATTTTACCTTGATGTTTTTACAATTTGTTTCTTACTCCAGCTGAGTCTGGTAGTGTTGAGTATCATGAATATTTCTCTAGCTCTCTTTTTCCATGTTTTTGCTTCACAGGAGATATTGTGGTCTTTTTATTGAATATAACTGTAATACATTGATGTAAAGTTTATTTGAATTTTGAAATAAAAAATATTAATGTCCGTGCACAATTATGTCCGTTCATGTAATGTCCGTCCAAATAAGGTCCGATAAGGTAGACATTTTGAGCGAGAAATTATCCATTTTTCGTCAATATTAAACACTTGCATTTGCAATGCACAGGAAAAATGTAATGTCCATTAATGGACTTACTGCCTTTTTAGAGAGGAATCGGTTGAAATTGATCCTGATAAAAGGCAGTAAGTCCGCAATTCCCTCAGTAAAGAATGTAAGACGTAAGTCCAATGCGGATGGGAAAATAGTATAGTTTAGTTATTTTGGAGAAAAATTGTTATTATATGGTTAATTTATGCTTTTTAGCATGTTTAGGACATATGACAATAATTTATTTACGCATTAATGTCAAAATTAACCCCGTTTATGCGAGTAAAATTACCTAAAAACGACGAACACGTTTTTCCCATTTTCTCAAAATGACATCGATGTGACTTACAGCCTTTTCTCAAGGAATGGCAGCGTATGTGTGAGTGTCAGTATTGAAGGTACATAATAAAACAATTTAATAAAGATATTAAAAATCGAAATATTTGCAGTTCAAACTCCGTTATAGATCATGAGCTCTAGTCTCTGTCAAATCTAAATTTTAAGTAGAAAAGTTATACGTCCGTAACACTATCACAAACAAAATTGTATCTACAAATTAAACCATCGTTTTGATAATCACTCCTGAATAATGGTATATTTCGAGTCTGCATATTATACAATATACATGCCGACAATTCTGATTCTGGAGGAGTCATTTTAGGGCCTACCAAATAATTTCCACCGCTATTTTTACGAGCTGAACATCCTGCACCCTTTGAACATCCTCATTCTTCAATTTGCTTAAATCTCAAAAATGGCGAGCTGGAGGTCAGATTCACAAGTTTTAATTCGACAATTCAGTGCTACTTCAGCTAGTACAGCATGATATAGTATAGTGAGTTATGTCCAATTCAATGTTGGTACTGGTAGATTCGAGCAATAATTTAGATGCTTTTCAAACGAAAAGAACATACATTCATTTCTACATATTGAGCAAGCAGACTACGATATTCAATAGAAAATATGGACGCACTTGGAAGGTGCTTTAAAAAGGGGGGGGGGGGGGGGGGGGGGGGGGGGAGGGAGATTGTCTCAATATCTCGGCTATTGTATGTTTGTAAAACGTGTTGACTTAAAAATAGAATTGATCGGCAAGTTTTTTTTACGAATCGCTAACCTTGTTTTTAATTAATTCACAAACATGACCTAAATTAGCGTCTGTGCTCTCTTACGGTTTGTCACAGGCGTGAAATCTCAACTCGTCAGCATACGAAATCGATCTCCTGTACTTCATCGAAGTAAGTGTTTAATATAAGAATTGTTATCAGAACACTGCAGAGCTGCGTGACAACAAGCATTGCATGCTACTCCATCGTCAGTGTAATATGTGTAGTTGCTTCTTTTCTATTTTCTGATATGGGTAGTGCGGCCGTTAAAATGGGCGTCGTTGCGGGGCCTCCTATAGAGTCTCCCGATGTGATGTACGATTTAAAGGAGAGGGTCCACAGAACCCCTTACGTAAGGGGCAGTGCAGTTCCCAGTCCCACCAGACTTCACCTTAACCAGGAGCAGGATCTCATGGTCCTCACTAATGGGACAGTCCTCAGAATTCAGGTAAGTCTGTTGGAATTGAACGTATATTTATGGGCTGCCAGACGAGAAATCCCCCTGAGATTTAACTACCTAAACAATTAACAAGCAGACCAACCAGTGGATGATTGATCTGACACATCAACTAGAATTCCAGACAACAAGGCCCCTCGGTTATCATATGACAGTGTACTCTATATAACTGTTTGGGTGATTTGATATTCGCTTTCATTTGATTTGACGCTGATAATGATTTTAAAACGAGGATACCTCTTATCTTTTACTTTTTAGACTTGTGGTTGTGGCTATACTAGATCTGTGGTGAAACATCATGGGTGTGTTGATTTGTAGAGGATTTGATAACCAACCCATGAGAGAAGTGGTAACATGAGTATTAGTACTTACAAATTTCACACTTCCATTTGAATACAGGCGAAACTTAAAGACGGCTCCAGAGGTATTAATCTGTACAAGAGGAACTTGAAGTCTGTGCCGAGAGAATTATTTTATCATCCTCTTGCCGAAGAAGTTACATGGTTAAACTTAGCGAGTAACAGTCTGGTGTACAACAAAAACGGTATCTTCAAGGACATTGATAAGGTAAACTCTATCTTGTTTTGCATAATTGTACACTTCTTTTAATCTACATGGACACTGTTTAAATTTTCAAAACATGAATATCGAATATGTCAATAATTATTTGTGCAGGGTTCTGAAACTTATAAAAATTAACTGCAGGTCGAGGAAAATTATTACAAAGGCGGTAGTGACATTGAGGAAGAAAAGGAAGATGAAGAATCGTCAAGAAGTAAAGCAAGCTCTGGACGATCATCAAGTGCATCGCGGAAATCTTCAGCTAAAGAAGAGGAGAATGGATCACCATCACCATTACCATCACCAGTACTTGCTGACAACGCTTCTACCAAAGAAGCTGATGTTACTTCTGTTCATTCAGAAGCAATTGGAGATGTAGGAGCTGCTGCTGAAGCTATAGTGGAAGGAGAAGGGTCACCCGGAGAGAAAATTGTCCCGGAAAGTACTGCCCCTGAAGAAACGAACGCGTCATCTTTACCAAAGATTTCTAGTCCTGAGAAACCAATTCAACAAACAGAAGAGGCAAATGTAGAAAAACAGACCTCTGAGGTAATACTTGCTGCTGAAGGAGGAAACATTTTTGCATCAGAAGTTAAATCGGAGAATGTTGAACTTCCTGAAGCAGCTCCTGAATTCCAGGCCGAAGAACCTTCAGAAACTAAGCCAGCAGTGGAACCCTCACAAGATGAGACTAAGGCAGAAGCTAAAGAAGTAACTCCAGTTGAGGTTATAGAACCAGAGCCAGTCCAAGGAGAGGTTCCAGAAGCTGCACCGGCTGAAAACGTCACCGAAACAGGTTTAGATGAAGGTATCAAGCAGAATTTATCAATAAAACCGGACGATTTGGTGTGTGAAGATGTGTTGTCGGAAGTTTCCTCAGTTGTTGATATGGGGCAAGATTTCGATTTAGGTAGTGTGAGTTTTTAACTAAAAATCTAATACTGATAGCGCTTTTCTAACTTTGATGTTGATAAAACATATAATCCTCAATCAAATAAAATTCCATGTTTTATATACTTCAAAATCACACAGAAGATTCTACAGATAAAGATGCGGTTAAAAAACATGCTGATGAAAAGGAACCAGATGTTCAACCAGTTAGGGAAGATGATACTAATATAGAAGATTTCGATGGAGTAGTACATAGTCGTGCACCTAAAAGTGTTGCGGGTAGGAGGCACGATCTAAAATAATCTTTATATTCTCCTAATTCCTTTTTGATATCAGCTTGAACGATTAATGAGCTCGTATGCTTGACCCTTCAGCAAATACGATTTTAATTAACATACTCACAGAAAGTGTTGACATAAGTGATTTCGAAGTCGAAGATATAGATGAGGAGGCGATAGAAGACGCTGAAAAGAAGACCACGTCTCCAGACAAGGTCAGTACTTTTATTTCATGGATTTTGATCCTGTAAAATTAGAAATTGTCGAAAATTTCAGTGATGAATCTAAAGTTACTCTAATCTTTCGCTCTTCAGAGAAATTTTAACATTACGCAAAACTTGAGCGCCTAACACAGAAAACCAACAGGAAAAGAATGAAAAAGAAAAAGACGAGGTAAAGAATGGGTCCAAAAAGAGTGGCAGTAGCAGCAGTGACAGTGAAGAAGAGGAAGAGGAAGAAGAGAAAGAAGAAGAAAGGGAGCTTATGAGTGATGAAGAGGGTGACCTTCATGACGAAGAGGGGAATGTTATCCCCCGTCAAGCAAACACTCTGCCCAACAGGTTTGTTTCTAGGAAATATCTTGTTTCTAGAAAAGGGAGTTTTCCAAAACTTCGACAAGATTCCTACATGCGAATATTTTTAGTATGATCATTGATTTTGAATCACTTCTATCCTATTCTTGAAATATAATGGAAAGTGATTTGTAAAGCCATTTGGTATCTCCCTCCAGGTTTCACAAAATGCCGAACCTAGTAGAGCTTCACCTGGGCTACTACGGTAAAGGAAACCCTCTTAAAACCCTCCCCAATTCTGTATACAGTTTACAACACCTGAGGAAGCTCGATGCTAGTTCTTGTAGACTGACCGAACTTCCGTCAGAAATTAATCGGCTCACTTCCATTGAGGAACTCTGGCTGTCTGGCAATTTTCTCACTTCTCTGCCCAAATCAATCGGTGAGTTTCTAAACAGTTCATTGATTTTAACAGTTTTAGGGCTTTTAAACAGTTCATTCATATAACCAGTTTTAAGGCATTTTAAGAAATAAATGACGCGTTTAAATATCCATTTGTCTGCGGTTCAACCAGATAATGACACAACTTCTCTGCTGCAATTTCCATACGTGACACACCTCTGTCTAGCCAACATGTACAATTTTAGGAGACCTAAAGAAATTAAAATCACTATGGATAAACTACAACCAGTTGAATGGGATACCGGCAACATTGGAGTTTTGTGAATCACTCGAAGGTATCTACGCTCATGGGAATCAGATTGAGTTTTTGTCTACTGCTTTGTGCAGGATTCCTAAACTGAAACATTTAGGCGCAGGGAGAAACAGGTTCGTCTTAAACAGTTAAACGTTTGTGATGTCACAAAAAACGGATAAAGTAGCTTTAATCAAATAAAGTCATTCAACGGATATTCCAGCTGTCGCTCAATAAACATCGAAAAAAGTTCATATACTTTTAATGAAAGACTCTGACTACCTGCCAGGATCAAATTTTTGCCGAAGAACATTGGTGAGTTGGTGAACCTTGAAGAAGCATGGTTAAATGACAATCACATCAGAGAACTACCTGATTCAATGTTTGAGCTTCAAAATCTAAAGACGCTTTGGATGAGCAGTAAGAGATTTTTAATGATAATTTGGATCGAAAATTTCACTTCTAAGCAACTTTTTTGATCGTTTTCTTGAGATAAATCTACATGAAATGATTTACTTAACGTTTCTACATAACTTTTAAAGTTTTTTATGCCCCTTGGTGCACAAAAATCATCATAGCTTGTTTTATTTAACCAAACAAATTGCAAAGTGGCATGATACTCTAGAATAATAAAATACTGAAGTTCTCATGATCATTCAGCCAAATTGCCATCGAACTTGACAAGTTACTCACAATAATGACTCGTAGGTAATCAGCTGACTTCGCTAGACAAAAAAGTGGGTAAACTCACAGAACTATCGGAGCTGTCTCTTAGCAAGAACCGACTTACTACACTTCCCTCATCTCTCGCTAATTGCACACGGCTCAGGTCAGTTTTCAAGACACAGTCAATGTTACAAATTTAGAGTTACTCTAATCCGCAAATTATCTCTGACTCTATCCCAGTCAGTTCGCTTTATAGCTTTATTCACTGTCCATGGAGCGCATTTTCTGTTCGCTTATTTTCAAGTCAGAAGTCTTGTAGGTCAGTATTTTGATAACTACTTATATTTACAGGGTGCTACAACTGGATGACAACAAGCTAGTAGCTCTTCCGAAGAGTCTCAACAACTTGGGATATCTTGAGGAGTTATGGCTGAACGGAAATGCTGTTAAGGAGATACCCGAGGGACTTTACATGATCAGCAATATGAGAAAACCTGTTTAAAAGTTTAGGGAAAATAATTGAGATTATATTATTGTGCCTTATTTTTTCATCAGATCTGATTCCACTTTGTTATAAAAACTTTTGAGGTTTAGTTTTTTTATACTGCTGTTAAGAATTATTCGATATTTTCACCAGCTTATTGTGTTATAGATTTGTCAAAACACCAATGCTACGAAGCAAACCTGTTACCCTGTCTCCAGTTCGTTTAAATCGTGATCTCAATGCTATATCGCTACATACAATCTACCTGTCATGTGACCTTTGTTCAGATCGGTTGAGCTTTAACAGGGCCATCACAGAGAGGAGATCTCTTTGTCATTCTTCCAGCACCATACCTTAAAAGTTAAAATCAACTTGTGTTTTACGTTCCTGGCAAAAGTAAATCTTCGCTTAGAATATTAATATCCCTCTCGGACGATGTTTTAAATAAATAGCTCTTTAAGTAATATTATAACTTGAAGAGCTATTTATTCAAATCATATTCGCTCGCGGGAAATATTAATATTTTAAGCAAATATTTACTTGTGCCAGGAAAGTAAAACACAAGTTGATTTTAAGATTTGATATCAACAGCATTGAGATCACGATTTAAACGAACTATTTAAAGGAGCTTAAAGGCCACGCCCATCTCAAAATAGCTGAAATCCATGTAAAATAAAGATTGAAAATCTTTACCCCTGTAGGAGATTTATGTTCCGGGGTATTTGGAACATGTTTTAGTGTAAAAATGGGTAGTACCTGTCCCAAACCATCATAAAAATCAAGTTTCGACCTCCCAACCCAATCAGGCCACTCCCAGGGGCCACGCCCATCCCAAAATAGCTGAAAACCAGGTAAAATCAAGATTGAAAATCTTTACCATGTAGGGGATTTATGTTCCGGGGTATTTGGAACATGTTTATTGTTTAGGTGGTTAAATAGTTAGTACTTGACCCAAACCATCAGAAAAATCAAGTTTCGACCTCCCAACCCACTCAGGCTACTCCCAGGGGCCACACCCATTCCAAAATAGCTGAAATCCATTTTTATCTATTTAATGCATTCAAAATTGTATTTTGTATTCCTCCTTTGTCTCCATTTCATCAAGCCTGCGCTCGTACAGAGTAGCAGAATTAGAATTGATGGAAGGCACCCACGTGAATTGAACGTGTCCATTATTGGAGGAAACCGATCATGTGCTTAACAATGTATCATCGAGAAAGATCTACAGTGACCTTTTTCCCTACCTACGGTGTCGAACTGCATTTTCTGGCCACACTAAAAATCAGTATATTTTGAATCCGTGCAAGGAATAAAAGTCATTTTGTTTAAGATGATTGGTTCCCTTGAGTGAATGTAACTGCGACCAATCAAAGCAAACCACGATGCAATAAGAGTATAGTATAGTTTGTTGCTGCAGAGCAGAAGTGGGTTTTAAGTAGTTGGCACATTTAATGGTTATTTCTGCCCTTGCAGCAACAACAGTTTTGACGTTTTCTGACAAATTTGTTAGAATTTTTAAAATTCTGACTTCTTTAACCCAGATTTTTTGGGTCAAGAATTATTCCTGAAGCCCTGATAACCATTACAACCAATCGCCGACCGCAGAATCCCCCTTTTTAAACCAATTAAAATGTTAAAATTTGTCATAAATGTGTCTTAAAAACCTCGAATTTGAGTGGTTTTTAAGCACTTTTTTTTTCAAAAAAACAGCAGAGTTGAGTCTTGATTTTAGTCCCATCGTCATTTCCTATTTTTATTTTATTTGTGAACGACTCTTGTGAATCCGACATGATTGTAGATGTTTACAACCGCGCCGCAGGTGTCGCTTTAAATCTATAAACAAGAGTCACGTGGAGACCCACCCACATGAACCACGTGACCCACCCACGTGACCACGTGACCCACCCACATGACCACGTGACCACGTGACCCACTAACGGAAAATAGTTGGTAACAAATCGTTAGCACCAATGAAAAGTGTCACTGACACTAATCTCAGTTACAGTTTTCAGATCTAGCTATAATTAAAGTCGCTTACTAGACGGTACGTAATGCATTGTGGTTTAATTTTGCACCTTAGCTTTGAAAGGACCCGTGGTTGTTCTAGGCTACGATTACACATAAATTCACAGATTATTTAACGTAATTAAACCTGATTCTATCAGCATTACTGAATTAGTTTCTGTAGTAAATTAATTAGAATTCAGATGAAAAGTAACATTAACAAGACTTGCGCTCTGGTTTACCAAAACAGGTGCTTCAACTAATGAAATACCCAGGAACATAAATCCCCTACATGAGGGGTAAAAATTTTTGATTTTACCTGGATTTCAGCTATTTTGAGATGGGCGCGGCCCCTGGGAGTGGCCTGAGTGGGTTGTGAGGTCGAAACTTGATTTTTCTGATGGTTTGGGTTAGGTACTACCCATTTTTACACTAAAACATGTTCCAAATACCCCGGAACATAAATCCCCTACAGGGGTAAACATTTTCAATCTTGATTTTACCTGGATTTCAGATATTTTGGGATGGGCGTGGCCCCTGGGAGTGGCCTGAGTGGGTTGGGAGGTCGAAACTTGATTTTTCTGATGGTTTGGGTCAGGTACTAACTATTTAACCACCTACTTTTAAAACTGCGTCTTGGATGGCAGAATCACTGAATCAGCTCGCCAGTTGACATGACTATGTACAGTGCAACAGGATGGTGAAAGATTAGTTAGCAGTATTGATGGCATTATCGTTTCACTTGGTTCGTTTTCAGAATGACAAGTTAAAGCAGATAAAAATCGCCCTAAGTTCAACCAAGAATCAAATAATTGACAATTAGAAATGGGTTTATATCAGCTGACAGGAAACGATTAATATAAACTGCAAGGAGAAACAGTTGCAGGCACCGCTGCAAAGAACATAGTTGAGAGCCAGTTAAATTGGTACAGAGATGCAGTTCAGGAAAATTTAATTTTGATTTTTTTATCAACCTGAAAGTTCAGATATCCCGAAGACAAGTCTGTGGTGCAGGAAGAGGACCTGAGCCAGAACATCATGGTTTTCGGCTTGTCTGAAGAAACTAGCGAGGAAATTAACAGGACATTGGGAGATTGGATTCAGACCAGTGATGGAGATCAGTAGAGTTGGCAAGAAGAAGTAGAAGACTACTCGGCCAGTCTAGGTAACTCTGTCCAGTTCCAGATTCCAGTGTACAGCCTAAATCAGATACTTAGTCAAGCTCGAAAACTAAGACAGCCGAAGAAGTTTAGCCCAGTTATCGTTAGTAATAGTCTAGACCGCTCATTGGAGAATAGAGTTGAGCATAGACTTCTTGTTGAGGGCCTACACAAAATGAAGAACTCTGAGCCAGACAAGCACCACTACATCAAAGGAAAAACAATTTATACCGAAGACAAAGCAGTGAAATGAATATGGTTTTACAATTTCATGTTTTGCTATTATATAGGGACGTAAATGTTTGAAGAGGATGAAGACTTGTCTCATTGTGCTCAAATTTTGATATTTTGAGTTATGTAGTTATGTTATCTGCCATTGGAGCACACAAAACTTAACGTTTTCTCAATATTGGTCAGATGAGTTTTATCGATCAAATTCAATGTGCCAACTTGGCACATTGCCAAAACTACAGTGCCCTGATGTGGGATTATTTTTATTCGTTTTTCCGTTGATTTTCCATTATCACATATCACATGAATTAACATAATTTCTTTCATCCTACTAGTACTCTATCGGAGGCTAATATTCTTAAACTGTACAAATCGTCTGTATTTACAAATGGAATTTCTTTATAACTTAAATCGCATTTTAGTTTTTACAGTCCTAAGTAAGTGAGCAAGTTCAACTGGTGCCTGCCTACTCTACCCTTTTTAGTACTATACTCTGACTATCTACTGCGATCAAGTGTAATGCAAACTGTGCAGGTGAGTTGTTATCACTGCAAAGGATATGATCGGGCATCCTTCATCGTACACGAGCAACACGCTCACTGAGTGGAACAACTTCACATATTTTGTAGATTGTTTTATTTTTGATAATGTTCGGGTATGTCATTTTTATAATTTGCCTAAAATAGTAAAATGTTTCTTGTGTAGGCTATCCACTCCGATAATCGTAACCGATAATTATCTCCGATAATTCGTTAAAAAAGGTTATCTGTTTATCTAGATAAAACATATTTTTATCGGTATAAAAATTCTCTAGATATTACCGAAAATACTGCCACAATACCGTAAAATTGTAAAGAAATATTAGTGTTTTTGCCTTCCCAAGTAATCCAAGAAACAATCCCAAACGTCTTCTAGTATGATAGAAGAAGTAGTTTACTTAGATGTGAGCTTAAGATGTTTATTTACATTTGTATACCTATGGAACTGTAGAACTGTATGAACTGTTGAAATCCAGAGAAGGTTATTGACACTGTTCTCTTAAGGGTGCTGGCGTTTTACCTTATAATCATTCTGGAGACGGGAACGAGCATGTTACTGTTAACACTTTAACAAGAGTCAAAAATACCAGCAGGGCACTCTATTGAATTCCGTAAGTGTTCTGGGCGTGAAACATTGTCTTCAGGAGAAGGAATCTGTTGCTCCAAGTTATCAACAGGATAAGAAAACGGTTCACTGAATCACTTTAAATGCTTTACTGTTTAGAGGAGAATTGGTATTTGGTGCACTACTGTTCTCAGGAGAAGAAAACCCTTGGTTTACTGTTTTGAAGAGAACTGGTACACTACTGTTCTCAGGAGAAGGAAACCCTTGGTCTACTGTTTTGAAGAGAACTAGTACACTACTGTTCTCAGGAGAAGGAAACCAGTGGTCTACTGTTTTGAAGAGAACTGGTGCACTATTTTTCTCAGGAGAAGAAAACCGGTGGTCTACTGTTTTGAAGAGAACTAGTGCGTTACTGTTATCAGGAGAAGAAAACCGGTGGGGTCTACTGTTTTGAAGAGAACTAGTGCGTTACTGTTCTCAGGAGAAGGAAACCGTTGGTCTACTGTTTTGAAGAAAACTGGTGCACTTCTGCTCCCCGGAGAAGAGAACTGATGCTCTAATATTTTCAAAAGAAAGGAAGTGGTACTTTAGCAAGATTACTGGTAAACAGTAATAAAAGTCGACAATTAGTTTTTGCGAAATTTGGAAAACATTTTGG